TGCCGTCGAGTCGGTTCCGACCCATAGCGACCCTGTACAGGGTTTCCGAGGGTGTAAATCTTTACGGGAGTAGAAAGCCTCATCTTTCTCCCATTTGGACCTTTACACCTGTGCAATTCCACCCTTCCTTCCCCCGCACCTTCTTCCAATTTCTCTCCTCTTCTTTGGAGCCCAGAAAGACATGCAAACTTTGCTCTGAAACACTTCCTCATGCCACCGCGTACCATACAATTATTATGAGGACTTTACTTTTTTAGTTTATTTACTCCTGGGTTTAAAGATGGTAGATCATTCACACTAGTATAGATGAGATTTATTTATGCTAAGCTACCTGGGTTGGACATTGCTAGTTTATGCAAATTGCATTTTTTGTGAGAACCCATATAGAAAGAAAGTCTTACAAAAAAACCATCAGAATGAAATGGCAACCACTGACTTTGTGGTTGGTATGCCAGTGCATATCGTACGGTGCCAACGCAGTCTTCTGTCTATTTGTCTGTCTGTCTATCATGGACTCCTGATGTGGCGCTATCAGCCCTGGACTGCAAGCCACATGGTTGGCAGTTCAAACTCACCAGCTTCTCCTCAGAAATCCTATAGAGGGTTGCTATGAGTCGAATCAACTTGACAAACTTAGCATTTATTTATCTACAGCATGGTATGAATTACGCTAAAAATATAAACAAAGATGCCATATTGTCTATTGTTGTTTTTCCATACCTACATGTGTATGTCAATAGAAAATGACTGGAAAGAAACAGAATGTGGTAATAGCTATGCTTCTAGGGAGAGGAGTGATTAAGTGCCGTCAAGTTGATTCTGATTCGTAATGACCCTGTATAGGGTTTCTGAGGCTTTCAATCCTCGCGGGAGCATAAAGCCTCATGTTTTTTCTGAGGAATGGCTGGTGGGCGTTAACCATGGACCTTTCAGTTTACAACCCAGTGCTTATTTCATGGAGCCATTATGCTCTGGAATGCTTAATGTCTTTACTTAATATCTAATTTAAATAGATACTTTTGGATTAGTGAAGTCAGAGTTGCTCAGAAGTTTTCCATGTAGCAAAAATATGTTCATGACTATTAATTTCCAATAATAATCTCATTTTTTGGAATGTGTAAAATGCCTGCTCATCCTTGGAAATGAAAATGATACCTCTCCTTAGTCCCTCTCCCCCAGTTAATTTTTAAGTGTAAAAATAACACAAGATATCTGAAAAGTTAAAATACCTCATCTTCCCCAAGTAAGTTATGCTGGAAGGACTTCTAGTTTAAAAGACATCCAATTTTTTCTGTAGTGGAAAATATTAAAATAATATGGGGGAGTGTTGATTAAAAGGAAGCCAGGAATATTCAAAATGTGAACACAGGTCCAAGTAATAGATGGTTTCTTATATGCTACCATGAATCAGCTTTCTAAGGTGCTTCTAAGTTTTCACTGGTGACCCAAAAGGAATGGCGCTGTGGGCTGCTAACCTATAAGGTCCATAGTTCAAGCCCCCCATGTGCTCTGAGAGAAAGAAGAGGCTGTTTGCTCCTGGAAAGATTCACAGTCTGAGGAACCTTGTATGGGGCTGTTCTACTCGGTCCATTGAGACCAGTGTGTGTTAGAATGAACTTGATGACTGTGAGGTAGGAAAGGAGAGCACAGGAGGCACCTCAGGTCAGAGCTGGGACCTGACCTGGTAGGATTTAAAGGCCGGTTTACACTCCCAGCCCTGAGTGTGCCCAAGCTGCCAACTCCTATTGGCCACCAGTGACATCGCTGGTCTCCACAGCTCATCTCTCCGTTCCTGATGAGTGCTGATTTTTAAAAATGCTGACTTCTGTGTCCCAACCCCATTCCAAATCTCTAGGGACCACCATAGGCTTCCTCCCCGCCTCATCCCTCTAATTCCTGCGCTAGGCAAATTTCACAGGTACCCTAGGCATCCCTGCAAGCTCCTGTCATTCACGCTGCCGGCCCGGGAACCAACAACCTGGAGGCAGAGTCACCCCCGGCGGGGCAAGCTCCAGGACGCGGCAGTCCAGGGTGCGAGGTGGGGTCGCGCGGCCCCGCACTCACCTTGCCCGCCGCGGGCACCGCCGCCAGGAGTAGCAGCAGCAGCGGTAGCAGGAGCGCAGGCGGCCTCGGCGGCGTTGTCCTGGGGCGCATGGTGGCCGCCGGCGCAGAGCCCCGGGGCGCTTGGCACCCGCCGGCTTGAGAACAGTACGTCCCCGCGCGCCCTGGCGGGTTTTGTAGGGCCCGGCCCCGCCGTCGGCTCTCCTCTCCGAGGCTTTGGCCGTAGTTCGGCAGGAGGGAAGAAGTGGCTCAGGTCCCGCCCTCGTCCCCCCCCCCCCCCCTTCCCGGTCCTCCGGTAGGTGTCTCTCCAGCTGGGCATCGTTCCCAGGAGAAGAACAAGGGGTGCGCCGGGGCCGGACAGGTGTGCGCGGACAGAGGGCATGCTCTCAGAGCTTGGGGCCGAGGGGGGCGGGGGTGCGGGTCGGAGGTGGGATTTTTTGAGGGGGTTACGGTGGGGCGGGGCGGCGTAGATGAGGGAGTGGCCAGCGGTCGCGCTCTGATTAGCGGGAGGTGAGCGGGGTGAAGACACTGGGGTGGCCCCCGCGCGCTGCCCTCCCGCCGCGCGTCCAGTCTCCTCAGGGTCTCCTCCCCGTCTAGTCTGGCAGCTGGCGGAGTTGGCCTTGAGAGCGTCGAGGAGACGCTGACCGGTTGCGCGGTCCTTGGGCTCTGGGAGCCGGAGAGGTGATCGCCCCGCGGGCGAGGAAGAGACTCCCGGCGCTTCGTGCGCCTTTTCATTTTCCCCCACCTCCGGAGGTAAGGCGCCCACCGCCCCAGACTGGCATTCTCCTGCTGTCCCTTGGGCGTTCGCTGAGGCCCGGGACACCTACCGGGGACGGTGGCACCTGAGCATGGTGGTCCACGAGGAGTGTCGGCCGGCCTTGGGACTTAGGGACCTTGGGGTCACCAGAGGAGAGCTTGTCTGGCTCCCCAGCTTGTCTACCTGGGCTTGAACCCGGCTCTGTGTGTTTTGATGAATTTGGAGGCTCGAATTACCAGCCTGGCAGTCTGGGCATTTTGAAATGCCAAGAGCTGAGGGGAAAGAGAAAACCCATCCTATTCTCTGTGACATTAAACGGGCTTTTCAGGCTAAATCTTATCTGCGGAAATGCACTGGAAAACAAGCCCTGAGTGTGGTCCAAGCTGGCTTCCCTCCTGAGACTCCCTTCACTGAGGTGGCCTTGGATGCTAACGTGCTTGTTCAGGCACGGTTTCTAGAGCGTGGACTTGCCCTTTCTTGTGCAATGGGCCCCTTTGGCTCCGGAGAAGCATGTGGACCCTCTCTTAGAATAATGATGTTTAAATGCAAAAAATCCAATTAAATCAGAATCTGTTCTATGGATTTAACCACTATCAAGATATTAAAGTCACAATGTGCAACATTATTAACGAGTAAGTAACTATCAGCTTAGTTACTATATAATTATATAGTTACTATAACAGCACGGCTGTTAACACAACTGTATTTTCAAAGGAGGGATGACTGAATGGTATTTTGAAATGTCTACAAACATTGAAATATGACATGAATATACTGCAGCTCTCTATGGGGATAAACGCTCAAGAACTTAAAGGACTAGGTTGGGTTTTTTGCCTATATTTGTAATTGAAGAAAATGTCAAAGTTTAATGAAAATAGAAATGCAGCCCCCCCCACCCCCCCAACCAAGCTCACCAAACTTATTGCGGTCAAGTAGAATCTGACTCATGGAGATCTCATGTGTGTCAGAGTAGAACTACACTTCATAGTATTTTCCTTGGCTGTAGTCCGGTGTGGTGATGTGAGTTAATGCGCTGGACTACAAGGTTGGCTTGAACTGCAAGGTCACTGATTCAAGCTCTTTGGAGAACCTATACAGGGTCGCCATGAATTGGAACCCATTTGACGGCATTTAACAAGTCAAAATCCTGTATAGGGTTTCTGAGGAGCAACTGATGATCTTGAACCACCGACTTTGCAGTGTAGCGCATTAGCCCTCAGCACCACATCATAGGCTTTTATTTTGCAACACCACTGTGTGGTTTTTGAACCACCAAGCTGTGACTAGTAGCTGATCCCCAGCTGTTTGCACTACCCAAGGACCTTCCAAGTTCACCGACTGCCTGAATTCCATTCTCAGGATAAGGTCTCCTGCTTTGGAGCCGTGCTGCTGACCGCTGAAGTAGTAGGTTGGTTAACAAATGCCAAATATGTACCACGGATTGGCCACTGACTGTGAAGGCTCATTAGAATCTGACACACATTAATATCCGTAGCTGGAACTTATGTGGACCCGGAAGCTGACTGAAGACCCTTCCTCGCCCACCCCCATTTTGGTTTTGATTTGGTTTTGGCTGTCAAGTGAATGTTACAAGCTTCTCTCTGCCTTTTAGAGTCTCAAGTGTGGTTGCACATTGGAATCACCTATGTTGTTGTCGTCGAGTCAGTTCCAATTCATAATGAAACTGTATAGAGCTTCTGAGGGAGCAGTATTTGAATCACCAACCTTGAGGTTAGCAGTCCAGTGCTTAACCTACAGCACTACACCAGGACCCCAAGACACCTTTAAAAATCCCTGCCCATCCCATGCCAGGGCAAAGACCTTAGAATCTCTCAGGATGGGACTCAGGAAACCGTCGAGTTTTCCATGTGCTGCCAAACGTGAGCGCTGCTGGTATACTTGAACATTTCTGTCATCTGCATCGAAGTATGATCTCCTTTTGGTAGGAGAAAGTTACGCCATCTATTAGGATCCACATAAGAGCGCTCACTCTGTGGTATGTAGTAGCGTTCCCCCATTGACAAGAAGCTCTGTGGCACCTTCTTCTGCCATCTTTGTGAGAGATGACAGCAGGTGCTCCGTTGATGAAATGTCAGTACCCAAGAATTTCAAGAGGCATATGATAAATTTGCACGAACAGACATTACTTCCTGAAAAACAAACCTTAATGTTAGTGCTGAATGCTTTCTCTGCCGAATTCCAGACTCCAGATTTCTCCATTTGAATTATGATTGCTTGGATGTGGTTGTTGTTAAGTGCTGTCGAGTTGATTCCGACCCATAATGACCCTGGATAGGGTTTCTGAGGAGCAGCTGGTGAGCTTGAACCACTGACCTTGCAGTTCAAACAGTTTTGCAGTCTGACACATTAACCCACAGCACTGCACTTGTTCTTGTTGGGATATGCCGTGGGGTCGGTTCCAACTCATAGCGACCCTATACAGGGTTTCCGAGGCTGTAAATCTTTATGGGAGCTGCTGGTAGTTTTGAACTGCTGACCTTGCTGTTCACAGCCCAATTTATAACTACTACGCTATAACAATAATGGAAAGAATACACAGAGTCATTGTACCAAAAGGAAATGGTTAATGTTCAACCATTTCAAGAGATACCATATGAACAAGAGCCAATGATACTCAGAGAGGAAGT